TAATAGCATCTGTATTGTTTCTTGATTGATTGTTCAACTGATTTCTTCTCATTTTTTTTAATATGAGAAGGAATAGAGCAAGGAGTTGGACCAATTGAAGTTTGCAATGCACTTTGATATATCTGACCATCAAATGATTACATTCTAAGCAACTGTAGTACAAAATTAGTAGGATTTGGATTGGTTGGTGAAAGGCTTGTTGTCGAGTTTAGGTGGCAGAGCAGATTGAAGCTTTAGGTTGTTTTGGAACAGTTCTGGGCTTGAGGTTGATGCTATATTAGAGGTTAAATTGGCTGTTCTTCAAGGAAGAGAAGGCATTGGTGTAATGTCTCAATTAAACACGCACATGCATGCTTGTAATCACAGTTTCTATTAAAATAGAATGGGAAAAAAATCCACATACATTGTCTCCTATCCAGCTTCCTGTATACATATCAATTGTGTCTATATATATGTTTGGGTTTGAAAATCATTATCTTTTTCTTTATAGTATATCAATGTTGTCAGAGAGAAGACATTTTACTGATTTCTGGTTTTTTGATTCTTCTCTTTCTGATAAAAGTGAATTTAAGTAGCTTTTCAATATTGCTATCCTTTTTGCGATCCATTGACCTTTAGCTTTATCTTTTTATGTTAATGGCAGGATTTAAATTCTGCATACCAGAGCTTTGCTCGACTACATAGTGGATTTTTTGGAATGCCTCACATGTATTCCATTGTCAGACTCCTAGGGTCTAGATCATTGCCATGGCTCATCAGGGCACTATTAGACTATATCTCAAATAAGGTACCTGTTATTGCCACTGACTTCTACTGTGATGAATTTTGGAGAAGGATGATAAATTTCTATTTTTAATGTTTTTCCTTATCTGTATTTCATTGTTCTCATCATTTTTCTGAGACATTTTCAATTGCAAAAACTCATTATGAGTAATAACTAAATCAAAATATCCCTTGGGTTATTGGTACTTCTAGATTGGAAGTAAATTTAAGTTACAAAATGCTTGTTTGTAAAAAATTATAATCTCATTATAATTTGCAGTCAAACATTCATTTCAACCACATATTTACAACTACTACCTATTTATTATTATACATTTCATGGGACTCAATACTCTTTTTCATTATAATTTCTTCCAAACAAGCACTACATGAAGTTACTTCTAAGAAGATGGTTGATGTGTGTGGATGATAATGATGATATAAACCTGCGAGCTGATGGTATTTCGAATTTCACTACTTTTTACTGCTTTTAGTAAAGCTGTCTTGGTGTTGATCTGCCACCATATAAATTCAATGTAATTTTGGAACATTTGTTCTCTCAGTATTGCCCTTCCAAAAGTTTTATTCTGACATTTGATATCTGATCCAAACCCACATAGCAATTAAAGTGACGAAATCCACATGAGATTGAATCGAACCCAAGAATGCCAAATAAATCAAAGTTTTGGATTTAACCCTAAAATAATGAATCAAGCAACCAATGCAATCGCCTACGATGTGTTGACTTCTTGATCACAAGATTTGTGAATCTCACCACGTTGTTTGAACGTCACAGGAATTAATGTTGATAAGTTTCGTAATTTGCTCAATGAAGAACAAAGGAATAGAAAGCAAAATTGTCTCTGTTTAATCTCTCAATAATGTCTAAGTTCCTTACAATGAATGTGATGAAATCTATTTATACTAAACCCTAAAAACCTAGTTAAAACTGGAAATGACTTCTAAAATAACTTACAAAGATTACTAAGTTCCTTCTCGTCATCTAAGTATACTATGCAGCTGCATAATAGGTTTCTATGCGGTCGCATAGAAGCAACAAATTTCGCTCCTCTGCTCTCAGTAAATTGCTATGTGGTCGCATAGCTGGAATATGACCGCATAGTTATTCGACTGCCCCTTTTCATTTGATGCTTGTAGCACATTGATCCACTTCGAATCTTCCTCCGAGCCAACTAGAGATATGTTCCTTTGCTTGCCAAGATCGACGTTTCATCCATTGTAGCTTGAACAAGCAATCCCATCGCTTCTTTGACCCGCTTTGCTTGTGACGAGTCATCGGCCCTTTTTCGACAATCAACGGATCTTTGCTTGGACTTGCATTCGCTGCTTGTATCACATCAATGTCTGTGCTAATTTCCTTGTTTCATTATAAAACATGAAACTAATAATTTTGTGAAGTATAACTTGTTGACCTCACATTGAAACGTTTAGTAGTCATATTTCTGTGATCAATTTGATGTTTATATATGTATAACTTAGAAAAGAAGTTATATTCCAACTTTTTGCTATTACCATTTCAGATAACTACCCTAGAACCAATGATCGCTGGACTGCAAGAGGCTTTACCAAAATCTATTGGATTACTTCCCTTTGATGGTGGTGTGGCAGGTAAATGGTTTTAGATTGTTCATTTAAATAGTATTTATGAGTTCTTTATGCATTCTGCCATTGTTGGCATAATTGTAAATCCCAGTTTTTAGATATTAAAAGAGAAATTATTTGTTTATCGTATTTTTCTCAAGGGATTTTCTTAGCTACTTGTTTTTCATAAAGTATAAGGAAAAGCATATATGAAATTATTTAAAGGATTTGTCATTCACTTCACAATATCAAAATTTTATGAAAGGACTTGTTCCTATGAAGGACTTGTGGTACTTTACCTGCAATTCTGTATTGCTTTATTGACAAGTTGGGCACATATTTACTGGCATTGCATTTTGTGGTCTCCTTTTCGACGTGTTACAAGGCTTTACCCCTTCTCAGTTGACAGTGAAATAATTTTTTCTATTGTTAGGTTCTTGGAGGTTCTTTTTTTCTTATGGTAATTGAGGAAGTTATGTTATCTATTTTCCTATCGCCAGTATCATTATTTGCAGGTGCTATTCATATGTTGATGTTGAATAATTAATCACATAAAACAAAGATTAGCTTATCTATGGCATTGGGGGAGGACGTTTTAGTAACTGTTTAGTAAAAACCCAACAACGAATTTCAGTGGCTGCATTCATTCTTGTAGGGTTTGTCTTTCTTCATGTTAACTTGCTTGAACATTCTTATTATTATGCTTAGGTTGTATGAGGATTGTTAAAGAGCATCTTAATTGCTGGCATCCCAAATCAGAACTCAAAGCAGAGGCTCTTTGTGGAATAAAGGAAATTGGAAGCGTGTTATACTGGATGAGTCTGCTCGATATTGTCATGGTAAATTGCTAATGGTCCTTATTTCATATGCATCAGGGTTCTGTTAGGGAGTACTAGGAGCTGCAGATTTGATGGAAGAAGTTGAATTTTTTTCTGAAAAATTAGCATCTGGAACAAAGTAAAAGATTGCTATTTTGACACCGTCTGGAATTATAGGGGAGGGAGAAGGGGAGGAGATAGGGGAGAAGCCGAGAGAAGAAATTGGGGAGAAATCAATAATCAAGGCTAACTATTATGGTGCATAAGCACCCTTTATATTGAGTTTAAACTAATCTAATTAAGTAGGAAACAACTAATAAAATTCTAGAAAAACTTTAAAATAAAACCCTAAGCACTCTTTCTAAAATAAGACTTGAAACTAAGAAATTATTCGTAGGATAAATCTAATAGGATCTCCATCGTTTCTCGCTAACTGAAGGAACTCGATTTCGACAAGGTAAGCTACTAACTTCTTATCCAAGCAGGCCGATCTTTCTTCTCGACCAAATAATCATACTGACCAAACAATGACAACCGAATGTGGAAGTCATCCTCAGTCATGTGATGAAGGATGGCAATCTTTCATTCCAATAAAAAACAATGGATGCAACTCATCCACAAAAACTTCAACAAAATCTACATATGAGCACAATGTACTAGAACAATAGACCGGTGTGCAGAAATACATGATTGCAACATCAGTGGCTCAAATGGATCCCGTTAAGAAGAGTTCTGCTATAATGAAAACGAAACTTCTATTTAAGTGCAATGGCCAGTTAAACAAATTATTTCAAGTGTTATTGAAAAAAAAAAAAAAA